CAACAACAGATAGAGAGGCAGGATGATGGGTTATCTGAAATTAAAGGAATGTTGCAACAACTCATTGGGGCCAGCGGAAAATAGAAGAAAAAGTCCACCAAATGCAAGAAAAGGTAGTGTCACACGACTCATCTATCAAGGGCATTGAGATTCAACTAGGGAAATCATCCATGCCCCTTAACAATCGTCCTCAAGGGACGTTACCTGCAGATACACATGTTAATCCAAAAGAGCAGGGCCCGAAGTCGCTTATGGCGGTGAGCTTGAGAAATGGTAGAGATCTTGATTTAGAGCAAGAAATTGCTCGTGAGAGCCGGTCAACTTAAACACTTGACCGAACGGTGAAAAGGCCACCTAAAAAGATCATTTCCCCTTTCCGTTCATTGATCAGATGCTAGATAGATTGGTAGGGAGGTCCCATTTTTGCTTCTTAGATGGATACTCGGGGTACAATTAGATATCTATTACCCCAGAGGATCAAGAGAAAATGTCATTCACCTGTCCATATGGCATTTATGCTTTTCGTAGAATGCCATTTGGCCTATGCAATGCACCCACCACATTCCAAAGGTGCATGATGGCCATCTTCACAGATATGGTAGATGATATAATGGAGGTTTTCATGGATGATTTCTCAGTGGTGGGAAACTCTTTTGATGATTGCCTTAGAAATCTTAAAAGAGTGTTGCGGAGATGTGTGGAGACTAATCTGGTGCTAAATCGGGAAAAATGCCATTTTATGGTACAAGAGGGTATAGTCTTGGGACACCTAGTGTCAAGTAAGGGCATTTAGGTGGACCGTGCCAAGATTGATGTAATAGAGAATCTGCCACCACCATAAGGCATGAATAAAATCTTCACAAGGCAGGAAATAAAATAGAAGTGAGTCAGTAAAAGAAAAAGATATTTTTATATATATACAAGATTGTTTACATGATTGATTACAATATAGAAACTAAGGTCTAAGTTTCTTGGTTATCTCCAGGAGCGGTCTCTTCTCCACCGGGCTCCCCCTCCCCCCTTTCTCGGAACCGCTCTTACTCCTATCATCGTCATCATCGAAAGCCAAGGCTTCAACATCGGCTTTGAGTTCTTTAGCCCTTTTTATCTCTTCAGGGAGATCGAAACCTCGAGCATGGATCTCCTCAAGGGTCTCCCTCCGAGATCGGCACTTATCAAGTTCAGCGACCAATTGTGCTCGAGTATCGGCGGTCTCGGCTGCCTCTCTTTCTTGGACCTGGGCAGCTTCAGCATCAGCCCGATAGACAGCCACGAGTGCATCCGCATCGGCCTTTTCCTTTTCGGTGTTAGATTCGTCCTTGGCAAGTTCAGAGGCCAACCGAGCCTCGAGCTCCTCTATTCTTCTTGCTTGAACCGAGCTTTTCTCCTTCATACTTTGAAGTTGGTTTTCGGCCGATGATAATTGGGCTCGAGCAGCTTCTTTCTCTGCAGCAAAGCGGTCCATACCTTCTTTCCACTTCAAAGACTCTGCTTTTATCATATCGACCTCCTCACGGAGTTTCCCGATCAACTCAATTTTTTGCTACAATTGTGAGACCGAAAAATTAGCCATCGTTCCGGTATTGAGCCCATATGCTTTTACCTGCTCAGACAGATCAGTCTCATCTTAGTGAGCCTTGGCCAACTCAGCTCGGAGGTCTCCTATTTCCTATCCCCTTTGCCCTAAGAGGAGTTTAAGGGAGTTCCTCTCCTCCATAACCCGTTGAAGGTCGGCTTCATATTGACGCAGCTTGGTTCGGGATCGAGAACATACTTCTCGATGAACTGTCGCGGCCTGCAAAGAAAGAAGAAACGAAGTTAGAAAAGAAAAGCAAATATAAAGGTAATGCCAACAAAATAATTTAAGGCCTACCTGATTCAAAGCCTATTGCACTCTGTGAAAAAGATCAGATGCGTCACTTATACCGGTAGTGTCCTCGACACCGGTAAACAGGTCACGAAAAGGATCCTCCCCATCATGAGGCTTGTCTAGTTCGAGGGCCCCCAAAGCTTGGGCTTCCCGAATCGCCCCTGCGAAAAAAGTAGGGAAGGTGGGCGAGTCTTCGATTACTACTGTCCCAAGTGAATCACTTGGAGCATTCTCTTCGGTTCGAAGAGATTCGGGGAGATCCCCTTCAGACATATCCCCCATTTGTTGGCTTCGATGGGAAGCATCTTCGATCTCCAACAACTCGGGGACTCTGTCCGGATCTTTCTCCGATATATCCTCAGTTCGAGGCGGAGCCTTATGAACCACCATCGATCCAGTTTCCTGTGGAACGTCGGTGGTCTTCTTTGTTTGGGCCGCCAGCGTAGACCCATCATTTTCTTTTTCTTCTTTGTCTTCATCCCTTAGACGCAAAACTGATTCTACGGTCAAAGGAATGGTATTCTTGTTCGGCTTATGATCCGTCCTCTTCTTCAATTTGGATCTTCGGGAACGGAGGCTCTTTTCCTCTTTTTATCTTTCACCGGCATTGGGACAGAGGCCGAAGCCTCTTCCTCGACGGACGAGGGCCTCAAAACCGCATCTTTCCCCACACCTACATATGGGAACTTTTATTAAAGTGTATGGAAAGCATCTTGTTCGAACTACCAAAAAATACGAGAAAGGGGCTTATCATGATTTTTGGCTTCCCATCGGCCATTTGACAAGTCACGCCATGAGCGATCGGCGTATGCGGAGGTTGAAACCAGATCCCGTACCCAGTTCTTCAGATCAGGAACTGCGTCGGGGATTCAGGGAACCGCTGCATCACAAAAAAGAGGATATCGGTGAGAAAAGAAATGAAAGGACAAAATAGTATAAGATAATAGCAGAATTTCACTTACGTTTCATGTTCCACTCCTCGGGAAAAGGCATCTTTTCAGTCGAAATCAGGTCCTAAGTCCTTATTCGAACGAACCTACCCCTCCAGCCTCGATCCATGTCCTCATCTATACTCGAGAACAGAGCCTTGGTAACTCGACGTTGAAGTTTTATTAACCCTCCTCAAAAAAGGCGAGGACGGTACAATCAGATGAGATGATCGAGGGTGAAAGGCATCCCCTCGATTTTGTTCACAAAATATCGGATCAAAATAACGATCCGCCAAAAAGAAGGATGGATCTAGCCTAGGGTTATTAGGTATTTACGACAAAAATCTATGATAACAGGGTCGAGGGGACCTAACGTGAAAGGGTAAGTGTACACACTTAAAAACCCTTTCACGTGAGTAGTAATATCCTCTTCGGGAGATGGCACTACCACTTCTTTGTTCCCCCAGTTACAATCTTTTTTTATCTGCTCGATATACTCCCGGTTATCGAACAAATATATCTCGATACGGGCTCACATCGGCCAGGAACTGGCAAACCTTTATCGAGTTTGAAATCGGAGGTAAGAACACATGCCGTCGGAACGCACTCCTCAGGCCATGGATCCACCTGTGTTTTGTCGGCGGTAGATTGGGAAGAAGAAGCTTTTTCTTTTTGGGGGACGGTTTTTGATGTCTTCACCATTTTTGAATTTAAATAAGGTGAAAAAGATTTGGTGGTTTAGAAGAAGAATTTTGCAGAAAAGAGTCACAGATCAGCGAATGAACTCAGAAGAGACGAAAAGGAACTTAAAATTTTTTTGATGATTGAAGACGTAAAAGTGATAAATAGTGGAAGGAAGGGCTATTTATAGATTGAAGCAATGACGGTTCAATATCAGCGGTGGCCGACCACCGTCTAACACGCATTAAATGCCTTGGTAAACTGAACTGATGGGACAACTATCACGTATGTCATGGTCGGGATCGATGCAAACTTCAGCGTATATTTGATCGAGCCGTTGGGAAATCATATCGTTTCTTGCCACATCCTTCCCGAGAAACGAGGGGACTATCTATATACGGTCGAAATAGATTTCGGCCTACGTACGATTGATCGAGGTCAAAACATAGTGGATCGAAGAAAGACTTCGTAATATCGAGATGGGTTCCGAAGATTGTATGAACGATCTTCAGATTTCAGGTATAGGTCAAACACCGAGTTCGAAGTCATTATCGAGCTCGGGTCCGAATCGAACTATGATGAGATGATTTCGAGCTTAAGGGGCAGAGGCCAACCGATACCGAGCCTGAATCATCACCTGATCCCGAGTCCACATCGATTTCTAGAAGCAATACCGACCAGCACTGAGGTCGATTGCTCTCGAGCTCATAGGCAAGAGTCATTGCATACACACTAAGGGAGAGAATCTCGGCAAAAATTAGGGAAAAGCTGATTTATCATGGGTTCTCTACTATGTATTTTTAATTATATCTAAAGTAGAATCCTCCACTATAAAGAGGATGGCTACATTTCTATAGAAGGCAGTTCTTTGGCTTACATTGTAAATTCAAGCACCATACAGTTCTATATTGAAGAGTTATTCTTTTAAGATTCATAAATTGATTCATCTTGCTTAGTCCTAAAAATCATCTTCTTTCCAACCTTGTTTATTTTGTATTTTTTGCAATCCGCATTTGATTTATCCTTCCATTTGTACTAAGTTATACCACATATACTTAGAACTGCGAACAAATTAAACTCTGTCCATTTTTCGGGTAAACATCTGCTTTCTAGATATATGATAACAAGGACTCATATGGTTCCAAATCGATCTCTCTTGTGTTGTGATGATGAGTTGCTTGTATTTTGAAAACATGAGTGCTTTAATAATCAGTGCGATGATTATTTTATTATATGTAGGGGTGGCAATTTGAGCCCACACTGAAAACCATGTGGTGGGACCGGATGAGTACTCACACTGAAAACCGTGTGGCAAGAGATTCTATTATCCCACCACAATCCTTGGTAGCCGGTCAAAATTTGAAGTTAAGTAATTGTATTGAATAGCTTGTCCTATAGTAATAAGGAAAAAATTTCACACATCCGTGTTGACTTGACTAGTTGACCTATGAGAGAGAGAGAGAGAGCGCAGTTTTGCCTTTACAGATATTCACAACAATTTCCTATCATATATTAATCCCTGCTCCTTCATTTCCATAGAACAAATTAATCCTTCATTTCCATATATCCTCTGTATAGTACTATATATGGATAGAGAACAAGAAATTTCTGTGGCCACTTGCTTTTAGCATCCGTGCTCGACTTCGTCAAGGTCCGATATGCCCATAAAACACCCGGTAGCTCATCTGGTCACTTACTTTTAGCATCTTCTAACTTCATTTTAAGGTTTTGAATAATTACCTTGTTGGTTGACTCCGCCTATTCATTGGCACTCGAGTGGTATAGTGAGGATGTAATTCGTTTAATCTTCAATCCTTCCAAACACTTTGTGACTTTGGAACCTATGAATTGTAGCTCGTTATCACAAGCAATTTCTTTTGGTATTCCAAATCGGCAGACGATGTGGTCCCATATAAAATCAATCACTTCTCATTCTCCGATATTTTGACAAGCACCTGCTTCAACCCATTTAGTAAAATAATCAGTTAAAACCAAAAGAAATTTTACTTTGTCGGGCCCTTGTAGTAAGGGACCGACTATATATATTTTCCATTTCATGAATGGCCACGGTGACACCACCGAATGCAAAATTTCCGCTGGTTGAAGCACTAATTGTGCATGGCGTTGGCATTTATCACACTTTTGTACAAATATCTTTGTGTGTTGCTCCATCTGGGGCCAATGGTAGACAGCGCTAACTAACTTGAGAACCGAGGAGTTTGCACCGGAATGGTTCCCGCATACTCCCTCATGAATTTTCCTCATCACATAGTCAGCCTCTGATGTCCCTAAACACTGAGCCAATGGTCCTTGGAACAACCTTCTGTATTATTGTCCGCCAATAAGACAGTAACAAACCGCTTTGGTCCGTAGTACCTGGGATGCTTTTGGGTCTTCAGGCAATTTTTCATGCCTTAGATATTCAACAAATTTGTTCCTCTAATCCTATATTAAGTTGGTTGAATTAACTTCAATGTAGTCATCCCCATCTAATACTAAATGCATCAGTTGAACTACCTCACCTGCATCAGACCTTTTCATTTTTGTGGACGAACCCAAATTGGCTAATGCATATACCTCCACATTTTCCTTCCTTGGAATGTGGACAATTGACCACTCCCTGAACCGGGACAGTAATGCTTGAACCGTGTTCAAGTATTATTGCAAGCGCTCCTCCTTGGTATCGAAAATTTTGTATACTTGGTTTACCACCACCTGGAAGTCGCACTTTACTTTGATGACCTCGGAGCCTAGTCCCTGAGCTAGTTCAAGTCATACAACCAAAGCCTCGTATTCGACTTCATTATTAGTTAATGGCACAGCCTAATGTCTTATCTTAGGGTTTCCCCCGAATGAGTAATTAATACTACACCGAGACTGGACCCTTTTACGTTGGAAGCTCCTATAACGACCTGACCGGTCATTATGAGTATTTGCACTTTGCTCAATTGTTTAAGGGCATGAGTAGCTCTGTATGATGTATTAAGACTTGTGTGTATTGGCAATTTTGGTTTTTCAGGTAATTCAGAATTGATTTGGAAGAATGAATTTCATGATTGAAACTTTACAATTTGAAAAGTTGACCAAGTTTGACTTTTTAGTGTTTGACCTCGGATTGGAAATTTGATAGTTATGTTAGGTCTGGATGGTAATTTTGGACTCAGTCGTATGCTCGGATTTGCATTTGGATACTACTAGAAGGTTTCGGCGCTAATTGGCGAAAGTTGGAAATTTAAAGATTTGGAAAGTTCATAAGTTTGACCAAGAGTTGACTTTGAATATATTGGATTCAGATTGTGGTTCCAGAAATTGGAATAGCTCTGTTATGTCATTTGGGACTTGTGTGCAAAATTTGAGGTCATTCCGGGTTCATTTAATATGTTTCGGCGTGGGTTTTGGAAGTTGAAAGTTCAAAAGTTCATTAAGTTTGATTTGAGGTGCGATTCATCGTTTCAATATTGTTATGCATGATTTGAGGCCTCGAGTAGGTCCATGTTATGTTATGAGACTTGTTGGTATGTTAGGACGGGGTCCCGAGGGGCTCGAGTGAGTTTCAGATAGGTTTGGTTTGTGTTGTGCTCGTTTTTTTATGTTTCGACGTTGTTTCTTTAAGCATAAATGGTACCACATTTTGTAAATGAGCTCCAATTTCTATTTTGATTGAATCATTAGATCGTATCGTAATTACGGAGCTATAGCAAAATGAATCGTCAAATTTGGACATCGTATGAGAAGTTTATGGTCATTTTATTAAGAATTGAGTTGCCAGATGTTTCAGATTAATTACGAAATTGCTACTGACTTCATATTTAAAAATCTACATCATTTTCAAATATTGAAACCAACTTATCTCCTTCATTATAAGGTCAAATGGAGTGATTCAAAAGTCTAACTTGACTAAAATTTCACAAGAAATCCATTGGAGGCATCACAAATGCGTTTCGAGATCGTTTGGCACATGAAACGAGGCAGAACATCTGGGCAAAAATATTTAATATCAAGGGTTTGTTCATTTGGTTATATTTTGAGTTGGGGAGCCCGGATTCGGGTAATTTTTTAGGCTATATTCACCATATGGATTGGGGTAAGTGTTATATACTCGACTTTGGTTATATTCCATGAATCCATCTTCGCTTTTGGCATTTGATTGATGATTTTATTTTTAACAAAGTCTACTATGCATTGTGCCTAGGGTTAATTTTCATAAATAACAGCAATGTTACAGTAATAGAGGAGGAGGACATGGACCTTACCTCCAAAGCTATGGTGGATGAGCATTTGGTTATCCTAACATAACAACCAACTGTATCCTGAGAACTATGTGGAGTTAGACCTATGATGAAGTTCCAATTATCTATCTTAAAGTGATAGATAATTAGATATACAAAAAACTTGTGGAGTGAATATAGGTCAACTATACAAAATAGCAAATAAAATCCTAAGTCAACTAGATAGTTTAAGTGACATATTACATCCCATATACAAAATATCCTACATATAGCAAGCAGGAAAATTCTCATAAAGGGGTATGATAAAAGGAGTGTATAGATGTGGGAAACTATCTTCAATTTAGCTTTTTCAAAGGGAGTAGAAAGAGCCAAGTTGAAGATAGTTATCAGAGAGCCCCATGTAATGTATTGAAGTTGTTGTCTCAGTGTTGTAACTTGATGACACGCTTATAGAGCTTTCCGACCTGAAATATTGCATAAAGAATCTTTCTTGCTCGGTGATTAGTCAATGAAGTCATTCTGGATCCCTGACTCGTCATATTGATTGAGCCTTGGATTATTGTCTTGGAATCGGTAGGACATCCAGCTTGAGCTGCTGGGTTCTGAGAGTATGTGTGAGAGATTTTGGACTTAGAGCTGCTGCTTAATACCTGACTCACCTGGATCCTGCCAGATATGAGGTTTAGTTGTCAAACAACAGGGGAGCGGGCATGTTGGGCTGAGGGGATCTGGGAGTTGTTATGTGTGCATTTGCATATTATCATTTGTGTGAAGTGCTAGGTAGCTGCATTCTGAGAGTTGCATGCTTTTGTGTCAAGATGTAGAGGTATGTTGTGAGGCTTGGAGATCTTCTAATGGATTCATCCAGTGATGTTTATTTTTTGTGCCATGTTAGCATAATCATTGTGACAGGTACAAGCGATTTGCACTTGCAAGAGATTGAGCATTTGAGGTGCTAATACCACACTTTGCAAATGCAATAATAACTTGAGCTTGTCTTTTGTTCCTGCAAAAAAAGTAACAAACAAGTTAGAGATGGGGGGTTCTTGAGTTGATCAGTTGTCATTTTTGGGGAGTTGCAACCAAAGACAGTAGCATTTATGAGCTGTAGGTCTTGTGTGTTACTGCTTTTTAAGCAATGAGAGGAGATGGAGATATATGTGCCCAGGTTCTTGTGTTTACTGAGCCATGAAAGGGTGCTTGTATGGTGGTGGTGTTTTGGTTTTGGGAAACAGTGAGGGTGGTTTGGGTGAGTGATTAGTGATGACTTTGTATTGGTGGTGTAGTGTGAAGCTGGATTCCTGATTGTTAGGTTTTGGGTAGAGTTATAGATGAGGATGGTGTGGTTATTTGTGGTGCTTAAGTTTGTGTTTATTCTGACAGTTTGTTGGTGCTGGTATAGACCAAAGGTGTTGGATTTCATATGATAGCTGTGGAATTGCTTCAACCATTGGGTTCCCCACGGTAGAATGAGCAGTAAAACTACTAATACCACACACTGGGGGCCTTTTGGTTGAACATGTCACAGTATGTTGTACCTGCAAAATAGAAAAAATAGTTAGTGAAGATGTATGACTGAGTTCCTATTTTCAGGTTCTTGTGGATTCTTAAACAGGGGACTCTATGATAGGAGGAAGTGGTAAAAGAAAAGGGGTGATGTTTTTGGTGTGAGGAGTGGTTGCTGGTGTAGATTATAGGGTGGAATTGGAATGGTATTTAGTAGTATTGTGGTGATGTAATTGTTTCTGTGTGGGTGTGTTGTGTTGTTGGTTGTGGTTGCTGTAATACAAGGAGCAAGGCTGTTTGTGCAGGGGGATTCTTTTAAGTGAGGTGGTGTTTTGAGTTGTGGGACTATGTTCAGTATGGCTGATTGGGAATCTAAACTGGCTGTCTTATTGATAATGGTGAGTGATTTGTTATGATCTGAGCAAAAACAAGTACCTATCCATTGGTAAAGAATCAGTTGGTTAAATATCAAAGATATTAATACCACACACTGAAGGTTAACCATAGGATTAGGTAGCTTGTGGTTAATGTCACCTGCAAAAAGGAGAAACCTGTTAGAAAAACTGTAGGTAGACATATCCTTCGCCATATGGATCATCTGGGTATCTATGTGGAGGATTAGGATTTGGACTGATGAATTAGCTCCCTTGAATATGCATTTGTCAACCATAGCCATGAGAGTTAGAACTGGGAGGTCTATTAGCTTGGAATTGGATCATGTTGGTCTTTTTGTGTCTAAAGGGAGGTGTGTTATTATGATCAAGTTGTATCTGGGCTTTGATGTGTGGTGGTAAATCTGTCATATGTTGGAATGTGTGATATTGGTTAAGTTATGGCTGAGCTTGGTTA